GATTGAAGCAGCGGTGAAGGCAGCAGCAGCGGAGGCAGTAGTGGCGGAGGCAGCGGTGGGGCACCAATGGCGCGACGACGCAAGGAGGAGGCGCGAGCATGAACAGAAATGGAGGTGACGAGCGTAGATGTGGCGGCGCGGCGAGGCAGGCACGTGCACTGGCAGCACAGGGGCGGCGCAGCGAGGCAAGGATTGGCAGTGGTGGACGAAACTGCAGAGGAAGAAGGGGAGAGCGCGATGAAGAAAAAGTTGTTGGGCGACACAAATGAACAATCAGTAGGTTAAGTTCAAAAACTCAAGAAGAGCTACTACCTCAGTTATTTAAAACCCGAGGTAATATCCCAATATGGCACCGGTTAAAGGAGAAACCGAGACAATATCTCCCTTTAATAATGTTGACAGCCAAAAAGCTTCTGCTGCAAGTGGACAGGTGTACATTTTAGGCTTCGGGTGTCTTGTTAATCGAGGTCATAGGACATTTATGCCTCGGGTCAGTGGAAACTGATGCGTATAAGTTCGACTTAATTACAACAATGTCATCGCATTTTGATAGGCTTCGGTTTTCAATAAACCGAATAGACGAGTTAAAAAACAAATTTTTTACTACTATTTATAAGATTTAATAGCATTTTTTTTAATCTTTATATTTGTAGTGATAATTTAATATTTTTTATTTAATGTGGTTTTTATATATCTTTTTTAAAAATTAATGTATTAATCAGTTTTAAAGTAGTTTAGAAATGATGAAATGTCATATATTAATATAACCATCATCTTATTTATTTGTGTATTATCCAATTCTAAAAACATAGAAGGAGTGATGTTGATCTAATAGAAAATAAAAACAAAAAGCATAGAGGAAGGAAGTTGATCTAATAATCATATTCAATAAAAATAAATTAAAAGAATAAAATTATTACATCACAAAGAAACCCAAAAAACTATTAACTTTTTTTTCAAATAACATATAATAAAATTATACATATCACTATCAACCTTTTTTCACGTGAAATACTGTCATGTGTAAGCACTCTAACATGAAAACTTTATAAAAATAAAATAAAAGAGTACCACAAAATTTGAAAACTAAACTCATGCAAAATGAAGCAACAGCCAAACATTAACAAACCTAAGTTTCAAATATTTGAATACAACAAGCTTAGTACAGAACCTTTACAAGTTTTAGAATGTCCAAGTTCTCTACCCTTATTGATTATAAGAAATCCTCGGTGAAAACGGGAAAAAATGGTGTAAAATCAATTACAAGAGTGTAAAAACACCAACTTTCACAAAGAAATGAACCTCGAAGGGTTCGTCCAAAGATGAGTTGTTCTCGTTGCAGAACCATCGACAATGGCTACAAAGATGGGCACCAGCTCCAAGGGGAAGTACTGACAATGGACTGAGGAGAGAGGGACAATGATGAGAGGTCACCGTCGAGGACACAGTAAAGCTTTTTACCATTTAACATACGATTAAAAGGCTTTTCCTCCGAATTACAGAAGAAGCAGCAAATTATAGCTTCTACTCTTCTTCATCAATGGCTTCCAATGGAAAAAGCCAAAGCAATAATGGCCTTGAGCATGCAGAAAAGGAAGTGGTGGCTATTCTGCTACCTTTCCCAGCACAAGGCCATCTCAACCCGCTTCTCCATCTCGCACGCCTAATTGATTCACACAACATAGCAGTCCATTTTGTTGGCACACTCACCCTCATTCGTCAGGCCACACTTCGTTACCACAGCTCCACTTCAAACTCAAACATTCATTTCCATCGCTTTGAAGTCCCTCCCATTGTTTCTCCTCCTCCCAACCTCAACGACAATGCAGAATCCAATGATTTTCCATCTCATCTACTTCCTTCCTTTGAGGCCACTTTCCAACTCAGGGAGCCTTTTCGGGAACATCTTCAATCTCTCTCATCTCAAGCCAAAAGGATCGTGGTCGTCCATGACTCCCTCATGGCCTATGTTGCACAAGATGCTACACACATGCCAAATGTTGAGAACTACACTTTTCACACCTCGAGTGCCTTTTACTCCTCCCTTCACTTTTGGGAGGAAATGGGAAGGCCCGAAGGCTTGCATGTCCCAGAACTGATTCCTTCTCTGGAAGGATGCTTACCAAGTCAATTCGTGGACTTCATAAATACTCAAAGTGAGTTCGTCGAATTCAGTGATGGCATCATCTTCAACACAAACAGGGCAATTGAAGGTGCTTACATTGAGTTTGTGGAGGGTATCAATGGTGGCAAGAAGGTTTGGGCTTTGTGGCCATTCAAGTCTTTAGCCGTTGAGAAGAAAGATTCAGAAGGAGTTAGGCACTCGTGCATGGAGTGGCTTGATAAACAAGAGGCAAATTCAGTTATATACGTGTCTTTCGGGACAACAACAACTTTGACGGAGGAGCAAATCCAAGAGCTTGCAAGAGGCTTGGAACAAAGCAAGCAAAAGTTCATTTGGGTGCTGAGAGATGCTGATAAAGGAGACATCTTTGATTGTAATGGGGCAAAAAGGCATGAGCTTCCAACTGGGTTTGAGGAGAGAGTTCAGGGCATGGGGCTTGTTGTGAGGGATTGGGCACCCCAATTGGAAATTCTGAGCCACTCTTCAACAGGAGGGTTTATGAGTCATTGTGGATGGAACTCTTGTTTAGAGAGCCTAACCATGGGGAAGCCAATAGCAGCATGGCCTGTGCATTCTGACCAGCCAAGAAACACTATTCTGATGACACAGGTGCTCAAGGTTGGTTTGGTTGTGAAGGATTGGGCCAAAAGGAATGTGGTTGTTAGTGCTTCGGTTGTTGAGAATGCTGTGAGAAGGTTGATTGAAACGAAGGAAGGTGATGAGATGCGAGAGAGATCAGTGAGGCTTAAAAATGCCATTCATAGGTCCATGGATGAAGTGGGTGCTTTCATTGCTCACATCACCAAATAGTCCTATCAATTCATATTTGTTTTTAGTTGAACCTTCCAGAATTTTACAGTTCATCAAGTTATCTCAAGATTGGTTAGGCATGAAAATGTACTCATCTTTCTGTTTCTTTAGACGTTGTCTAGTAATAAAAATTCCGTATGAATGTGTGCTCTGCATTGCTAAATCTGCATTACCACTTGCATCTTCTCAACTTATGAGTTCCACTTCATTGATTTGATTTGCTCACAACATCAACGACATCCATAGTTGTTTTAGATTCATGGGTTTAGTGTTTACGATTTGCTCATAATATTATCAACATCCATAGTTGGTTTAGTGTTTAGGATTTGCTCATGGAATTACTTCAATATCCAAAATTAATGGCATCCACGTTCTAACAAAAATGAAATAGAATTCATTCAACAGGTCAGACCTGTAGAAGGCGTGATATCCAATCGCCTGTTCCGCGTGAAAAATTTTCGGAATAAATGGAAGGACTAGAACTGAATGCTCTTCTTCCCATACAGCCTTAGCAGATTGCATAGCCCAGAAGAACTGTATATATAATAAAATTCCAGCCCAATTCAGTCATAGAATGACCACAATTTTCAACTTAATGAAACTTCAAAAGGATAATGTTAGCATATCTATCAAACCTTCCCCAGCAGAGCGTTATCAATAGACCTAACTATAAGATATATGCTATGCAGAATGTATTCCATATAAGCATAATACTTCCCTTCAAGACTTTCCACAGAATGAATCAATGGAATAAATTCCAGGAAAATATTCATTAATGGTGGAACTAGATTCTTCAAATTCTTTAGGATATTAGAAAAACCTACACAACCAGATGAAGCATAAAAGGGGACAGTCAAACAATCAGTGAGAACATAAAAAGCTTGACAAAGCTTTTAGAATTATGCAAACTCAAGCAACTACATTCACTTAGTTATGTGCTTCAAAAATTGCATTTTTAAGTTACATTGTAGAGAAAAACTATTGAATTTTTATTAAAGTAAATGTTTAAGCAAATTCTACAGGATCTCTTGTCAAATGTTGACACTTTCAACAAGTTCTTATTCTTATAATAGAAGTAATAACATAATTCACAACTCTTTAATTCTTATTATTATAAAATTATTTATATTTTATTCTTTTAAAATTATATTTTTTACATGTAAATATATATATATATATATATATATATATATATATATATATATATATTCCTGGTATAATATAATTAACTTCTATTTACTAGTTTGAGCATGAAATTTTGATAGAGGTCGTGCACTCTATTTGAAGAGGAAGAAGAAAAAGAAAATACCTTACGGGCATAGACGTGAGAAAGAGTAGCTCCCCAACCTTCATAATAGCTATACTGAACTATGGAAGATCCAAACAACACAAACTGTGGCCTCCATGGTCCTGTCATCTTTCTTTCTCTTTCGCTTTCTCAACCACAAACACACAAACCAAAGCAATTTCTTTCGCATTTTATGCATGATGTAGTTACCCACGTTTTCGGTTTTTATATTATATTTATATATAAAATTTCATCCAAAACCAAAACCATGTTAGTTATGAATGGGAGCCAGCTCAGATTTAAATTAATATCCATTGCAACAGTTACCATATAGGATTTTAAAAAGGAGTAGATTCAATATTTTCCTTTCTTGACCAAAGAAAAAACATTATTCAAAATTTTGAACTTTTCTTTTAAAACTAGTTCAACGCCATACATTGCTTTAAAATTTGTAACAAAAAGTAATGAAATAAGTTGTTTTCTTGAATTTCAAAATGTGCAATTTGTTATTTTCTTAACTTCACATCTGCTGTTTTTTTTTACATGAATAAACAAAGATTGATTTTGATTGTGGTGGTCGATTATAATAACTGACTTTATATATAATTAATATTAAAAATTTGACTTTTATAGTTTTTCAAATAAACTCTTACCTCTACACACACATATATACATATATTAAATTAATTGACCTAGTTTAATGTCTTAGAATTCATTTACCTAACTACCTGCTCCTGATAAAATAATAGTGTGAAAAAAAAAAACTTGAGACCCTGCATTATTTTTGGTTGAGAAATAATATTCCTACTTCACAAAAACTGAGTATGCTTTATAACATTTTCCCCACCACACAGCTCAGTCCAAGTCCTTCATGTCAGGCTATTTCTCACTCCTCCGGAACATTCTTCTTGACAAACGTTAAGACTTTACGTTATTTCGTAAGGTCTTTAGTTGATCAAGAGCACGTTTCATGATGTCATGTTCTTCAATTTTCATGCTGATCTCCCCTGATGACTACATAAGAAACAAAATATAATCAAGCAACAGTCATTATATTATAAAATTTTGGGAACTAGATATGTTAACAGAGCAATATCAACAACAATAGCCTCATCCCACAGATAAAAAAAGAACAAGGCAAACAAAAACTGAAAATACATTGAAACGTTAAAAGTTTTTCTTGTTCCAATGGAAAAGATAAGTTATACTAATGGAAAGCAACCTCCATAATAAACAGTCAATAGTTTTTCTTGTTCATCAGGGTAGAACCTACCTGTAAAGAAATAACTTGCTCTATGACGTTATCAATATTTTTCTTGTATGGAGACATAATCCGTCGTATTTGAGGATCCCCGTGCAACAAGGAAAGAGCAGAAGTGACAGCATTCACCTTATTCAAGCAGTTCCTTACATCTTGACAGTATTTGTCAGATTTTAGTAAAACGCTGCTATCATATATAACCGATCCCATTTTCTTCAACACAAGATTCATAAGTTCATGGCACCGATCCAACATGAAAAAACAAGGTACAGCATAATAACGCCGGAGGCTGAATGGAAAGGAAGTTTGTCCATCATCTTCTGGAACACACTGTGGTAAAGTGAAATTTAGAATCAATGAAAGTACTAAAATCAATTCATATCAGAACAATAAAGATCCATTTCTTCAGAAAATAAAAGAAAAGAAAACTCATAAATTACAGAAATAGTGATAATTTAGACAGTATTTCCCCATGGCCTTTATTATAATAATTGCCTGTACACATTTAGCTAAGTTCTGCATTTTCTTTTGGAAGTTGTAAATTTTTATTTTATAGGTAAGATACTATAACAATCAATCCTAAAATTTTAAAAACAACGGACATTTCTACTATCAAAACAAAAGATAAGGACAGAAAAAACAATTAGCTAATTCTGATACAAAGCATCATCTGGGGTATCCAAAAGAATAAGTAGATAAATAGGCAACAACAAAGTTCAAATTTATATCATTTGTTAGTCAGTTTTTGGAAGCATACTTACCTGCACAACATCTATCAGATATTCCGAAAGATGAAGGCCTAGAGTGGCAATGCTTTGTTCAGAAAGTAGTGTGGGCTTCGAATCCACTGAAACAACCATTCTCAGGAGAGAGCATCTATTATCCAAAGAAGGCTTTTGTGACTGTGGTACAAACACGTATGAGAAATCATTCTTATAAGAAAATTCTAAAGCTAGGAACAAAGCACAAGAAAAATAAAGAGAAAAAATTGCAATGCAAAAGAAAATGTGTCAACTTACTATCTGATCAATAATCAATCTCTCTATCAATCGTAGAACAATAGCTTTGTCACCCATCTGTTGAATGCATGAGTAAATCTTATCTGTCATTGACTTTAAAGTTTGGCGAAGTGGGTCACCCTTAAAACCAGAGGAACCAAATTCTGCAAAATTAAAAGTAATAAAATTTCTCACTCTATGGTGAATGAAGATTGCCAAAAAGTAGGTTTACAAAGATTAAAAAATATAGATAATTTCAATCACTAAAGATTACGCAAGCTGCAAACATGTTATGCATACATCATAGCAATGACAAATATTTTCTTCAATCAAGTAACTTTGCCAGCTAGAGCATGGGAAGAATGCCATATAAATATTGTTACAAGTTACCAAGAAGCAAGATAAAGATGGCAGGAATGCAAAATTGGATGAGTGAGTACAGATAGCAATGTAATAGTAACCCATTACTCGTGATGGGTGTTAGAAGTGGACTTTGAGCCTAACTCAACCCCACAAAAACGGCTTATAGGGTGAGGTTTGCATCCACTTATAAACTATGAATTGACCTTATCTCTAGTCGATAGCAGCCCGATAGCGGGTGAAACAATATGCCCAACAAACAACAAATATTGTTAGAATAGACTCTAACCATGGCTTTGATATCAACTTGAGAATTAAACTCTAAAATAATTCTAGAGGGCTTGATTGATCTCTCTCATAATCTTCTGTTTATAAAAATAAATTGATATAAAAGTACATGATAAATAAGGTAACCCTTCACATAATATAATCATGATAAATTAGGATAAATACACTAGTGTAAAATACACTTTTTATACATGTTAAAATAGACTTTTAATACCTATTTTTTTGTTGGTATAGAAGTGGGGGTATAGAATGTTTTCACTTTTTTACACCTGTTACACGTCAGGTATAAAAATATGTTATTTATACCTAATCTGGAAACAAGTATAAAATGATATCACTTTTACACCTGCTAGTCATAGAATAGGTATAAAAGAATCTTACTTTTATACCTTGTGATGTTATAACCGGTGTAAAAAGTGCAAGACTTTTATACTTGTTTTGGTTTTAACCGGTATAAAAAATGACTTTTTTTTAAAAATGTTTGATTTGTTTGTGCTATTATCCATATCTAGACGTGCCTAAAATTCAATTACATAATCCAGTCTAAATAATCAATATTAAACAAAATAATCAATATCATTTCTATTAACACATCAAAATATAATACTTACCTAACAAAATTTCTAAATATATATTTACATAACATAGTTACTTAACATCGTTACATATAAAATAGTTTCTAAACTCAAAATGTAATATCGAAATATTTAATCATTTACAAATGGTTAANGACCAAGGTGATGAAAAAACTCAAGTAATCCGCAATTTCTATACACCCCCGCTCATAGGCTAACTGGAGAACGTCTATGATCCAAAATAAGACATAGGAGTCTAGATCATCACCTGCAATAGTACAAAAAAATAAAAATTAATGTTAAGAAGCTTTAACCTAGAAAATTTTACAGCCTTTATATCATTAGTATATAAATCCTACTTCTACTTAAAAGACAATGGCTACACTGAACATTAAAAACGTTAGTACAGAAAGTGAGGGAAAAATGCTGTACAAAAAGTATACTTATTTCACAATAACATCACAGGTTTAGAATTATCACTTCAACGACTACTTTGTGGGGGAAAGTCCAAACTTTCAGATCAATCTTACATGATTGTAAGAAGATAAACCATATTTTTATCATAGGCAATAAAATAAATAGAAAAATAAGGCAGTCAAGTCAGAAAAATAACTTATTTTTTAAGAAACAATAATTACGTGGTTTATAGATAATTTCACAAAAATAAATATTACTTGAATCTGAGGCATACATTCGAGATGTTTCCAAAAGAAATCCTACAAAAAATCACAGCTGTGGGACTTCTATGCTATTTCTATCATATTTATTAAAACAAAAATTATTACAAATTGGAAGAAAAAGGTTGCAACCTTATTCTCCTCAAACAAATTTAAATGATAAACCTTTCAATACCTTAAATTAATCAAATTACTCAACATTAGGTATGCAAATGATAGTAGGTAAAATGTTAAGTGAGGAGGTATGAAGACAAAATTACTAAAAAAGCAAATCATGTCAGTGAAATTTTAAATGAGCCTGAAGCTTACTTAGGCAACAATAGACTAATGACTTTAAAATAGGCAGGTCCAAATGAGACACATAGTAAATGGAACATAAAGCGAGAACTTGAGATTCTCTAGGAAGCCTGAGAAAAGGACCAAAACATATCGGTCCTGCAACGTGAAAAAAACAAAACAATTAGAAGCCAAAAAATAAGTCACAGGTGTTGTATTATTAATACGGATGTCAACATCATGTTCATGTTTACCTCCCTCTTGATATGTACAATAAAAATCTTGCAATGACTGCTGCATGTTGTTATACATGCAAACAAGTGCTGGATTCCAAGCACGCTGTCCAATACGATGTAGAAGACGTATCAAAGCCTATGATGAACATAAAATACTTTAGGTAAAAGGACAAATTAAATTGCAGACTTAACATCAATGCAAAGGCAGATTAATCTCTCAAAATGCAGTCAACCATGAATTTCAAATAAAGTCCTCCTTATCAAATCAAAATAATAACTACCTGGGAGCAGGCTAGGTGATTATCTCCAAGCAGGATAAGCAACCGAGGGAGATCTCCAGTCCATGCACGTAAAGCCTCTTGAAGAACTATATACTGTGGATTGCTTGTCCCTGTGGAATGCATGCCTTCCATCTATATTTGGACCAAAGACAAAAAACANACATAAACTGATAATGCTCCCAGCTCCTAAAGCAAATAAACTAAGGTACTTTGGAGTAGGTATATTGCTAGATATAACAAAACAGAGCATATGCACACATTAAATTTCATTCTTGTGTTGCGCGGAACCCTAATCGCCCAAACATAGCAAAAGAGAGGATCTAACCTTATAGAGGAGTCGCGGTCCAAGAACACGAGAGTTTTAACGAGCAGTCGATCGGGAAGAGTCGCGACATTGGAGGTTTTGAACTTTGCCCTCAATGCAAAGGAGCTTGAGGAGGAGAATCGCGCGCGTGCCAGAGAGAATTAGGAGAAGATGTGAAGCAAAGATGAAGAAATGTAGAGAACTAAGAGAAGAAAAGAAGATTCGCGCAGAGTGAAGCGGGAATGGGAATAGGAATAGGAGTGGGTACATTTAATATTTCACACCGGTTTTGAAGTAAAATAGGTATAAAAATTATTTTCTAAACTGATTCTGAATGTAACCGGTGTAGAATTATTTATTATTTATTACGATATTGACATTATGTTATTTTTTATATCTATTTTTAAAGTAACTGGTATAAAAAAGTTATTTTTATTTATCATTTTATCACCGTATCATTTTTTATATCTGATAAAATTGAACAGGTATAAACACACGCTATAAAAAGTCTATTTTGTACTAGTGATATCCTAACAATGGGTAATCAATTACTGGGCTTGGATTTAAAGAACAGTGGTAAGAGTGGGATGAAATTGGAAGGAGAGGAAGACAAGAGAACAATAGTATAACAATGGATTGCAGGCAGAAGGAGTTGGAGAGGGAGATGTGAGGATCATGCTTGGGGGAGAGAGAATGATTATGTGAGGGACGGTAATAGAATGAAAGTTATAAGGATTCTTAAGGTAAAAATAACCGGCTTAGCTGATTGAAAGAGTTCTTCCCCAGGAAAGGGATTATTCTTATTTCAGTTTCTACATTTACATTTAGTAAGGAGATCTGCCCCAGCTATGATCTATTTTTCCCTAACTCTTTATTGAAGAGAAGCTTCCCCTCTGATTAATCAAATTTCAGTATCAATACTATACAGTTTTCCTATTCTCTTTTTGGGTCATATCACATGGAATATGTTGTTTTGCATTACCAATTTCAACCCCTGCCAGTTCTTTCTAATCCCAACTACTGAACATTATGGACAAAAGCACTTAATTAGAAAAGTGAAACAAGAAATGGATAATATCAAAAGTTACACAAAAGGTAGTCCAAATAAATCTTCGTAAGCTACCAGGAGAAACTTTGAAACGGGAGACCAAGGTGATGAAAAAACTCAAGTAATCCGCAATTTCTATACACCCCCGCTCATAGGCTAACTGGAGAACGTCTATGATCCAAAATAAGACATAGGAGTCTAGATCATCACCTGCAATAGTACAAAAAAATAAAAATTAATGTTAAGAAGCTTTAACCTAGAAAATTTTACAGCCTTTATATCATTAGTATATAAATCCTACTTCTACTTAAAAGACAATGGCTACACTGAACATTAAAAACGTTAGTACAGAAAGTGAGGGAAAAATGCTGTACAAAAAGTATACTTATTTCACAATAACATCACAGGTTTAGAATTATCACTTCAACGACTACTTTGTGGGGGAAAGTCCAAACTTTCAGATCAATCTTACATGATTGTAAGAAGATAAACCATATTTTTATCATAGGCAATAAAATAAATAGAAAAATAAGGCAGTCAAGTCAGAAAAATAACTTATTTTTTAAGAAACAATAATTACGTGGTTTATAGATAATTTCACAAAAATAAATATTACTTGAATCTGAGGCATACATTCGAGATGTTTCCAAAAGAAATCCTACAAAAAATCACAGCTGTGGGACTTCTATGCTATTTCTATCATATTTATTAAAACAAAAATTATTACAAATTGGAAGAAAAAGGTTGCAACCTTATTCTCCTCAAATAAATTTAAATAATAAACCTTTCAATGCCTTAAATTAATCAAATTGCTCAACATTAGGTATGCAAATGATAGTAGGTAAAATGTTACGTGAGGAGGTATGAAGACAAAATTACTAAAAAACAAATCGTGTCAGTGAAATTTTAAATGAGCCTGAAGCTTACTTAGGCAACAATAGACTAATGACTTTAAAATAGGCAGGTCCAAATGAGACACATAGTAAATGGAACATAAAGCGAGAACTTGAGATTCTCTAGGAAGCCTGAGAAAAGGACCAAAACATATCGGTCCTGCAACGTGAAAAAAACAAAACAATTAGAAGCCAAAAAATAAGTCACAGGTGTTGTATTATTAATACGGATGTCAACATCATGTTCATGTTTACCTCCCTCTTGATATGTACAATAAAAATCTTGCAATGACTGCTGCATGTTGTTATACATGCAAACAAGTGCTGGATTCCAAGCACGCTGTCCAATACGATGTAGAAGACGTATCAAAGCCTATGATGAACATAAAATACTTTAGGTAAAAGGACAAATTAAATTGCAGACTTAACATCAATGCAAAGGCAGATTAATCTCTCAAAATGCAGTCAACCATGAATTTCAAATAAAGTCCTCCTTATCAAATCAAAATAATAACTACCTGGGAGCAGGCTAGGTGATTATCTCCAAGCAGGATAAGCAACCGAGGGAGATCTCCAGTCCATGCACGTAAAGCCTCTTGAAGAACTATATACTGTGGATTGCTTGTCCCTGTGGAATGCATGCCTTCCATCTATATTTGGACCAAAGACAAAAAACACACACACTAATCTCGAAGGAAGGAAATAACTTGTTTTCATGAGATTATCCAAAAATCAAGAATTTCATTTCAATAGTGTTCTCAAAAGGAGATGAATCCAAACTCACGTAAGTTAACACATCTTCAATGGCAGAAACACAGACTTTCAGCAAAGAACCTGGCTTGCTTTCCCTGACATTCTAAACCTTGTCCTGTCATTATTACATTCAAATGGTTACAAATAAAGTGAAACAATAGAAAAGAATAAGGAAGGATCAATACAAATTAAAGTGAATGTCATACATTTTGCATACAACTTTTAAGATGGTATTTTACATAACTCTATTGAAACGATAGTTCAATTTGCTACAATAGATGCTGATGAGTGCATATTTATGTCCACATTTATGCTTTAAAATGAAAGTTTTGATGAAATGCATGTGCTTGAATGATTAATTTAAAGAGGATTTGTGATGATTTGATATATTGTGTTTGAAATTAAAAGGGACTTAAAAAGCGATTTTAATTGCATTAATTATTCTTGGAAATTCTTACGTTTATTTGTGCAGCTGAAATTATAAGTTCTATTGGTCCAAATGGCAATTCAAAGCCCAAAATCAGGTTTTATTTGAAAAATAATTTACAGATGGGCCAAACAGACAGACTTTACCCTTGCACCTCCTAAAATCCCTACATACACTCCTGAAACAGGCCAACAACCGAGGCCAAACAGACAGACTTTACCCTTGCACCTCCTAAAATCCCTACATACACTTCTGAAACAGGCCAACAACCGAGCCCAAACACTAAGCCTTTTCTACTACACCTCCCTAAGTTTCCTATACACACCCCTCCTAAAATAGACTCCACCACATCATGTCATGTGGCAATCTAAAACCCTAAGTGTTATCCAACCACATGTTACCACATCACCCCCTCTGCCACATCATCATCTTCTCCCAAGAAACCCTAATTCCCAATCCAAACCTTAGGGCGTCGTTAGTCGTCACCGGTCACCATCGTGCCACCACCTTGCAGCGCCACCGTCCATAACACACATCCAGAATCGCGCCACCTACGCTCACGGCCAATCTATCTTCTCCGCGCCCCAATACCGAAGCGCGACCTCCACGGCCACCATCATCCAATCTCGCCGCCAACAGCGAAACCACCTTGTTGTCGCCTATCCATGCTGCGACACCACCATCAAACACGCACCAAGAACCACAAGACTGCCGCCACCAACGCGAGTCCCTCACGCATAGAAACACCGTCAACCAGCCGCCGCAGAAACACACCATTTTCTTCCTCGCGTCTTCATCGTGAGGGCGAAGCCCTTAAAGCGACATCTCCCAGCCACGATCGCCACCATCCATCCACAACAGAACCACCACTAGGGGAGTCCCTCCAACGTCACACAACCAATCGCACCTTCATCTTCTCTAGCGTCGAACAACAGAGAACCCAGAAAACCTCGCGCCAACGTCGCACCTGCACTCAAAAAAACCACAGAGATCCAATTTTCTCGCGTTCTCGCCATTGCCCAACCTCCATGGCAGCCATCACACGCCACCGCCGTGAACCTTCCCGCTCTGCAATCAGACCTCCACCTGCAAATCCAAAAAACACAACAGAATCAAAGACACAAGAGTAGGGGAAGCGGCACAAACTACTTCGCGACAAGGTGCAGAGCAATTTCCCTAATCTGAAACCCTAATTGGGTGAGAAAGAGGGATGCCATGTGGCAGGCCCTCATTGGCCACACCCTCTCTGGTCAAAACTGGTCAACAGATTTGAATATGGTCAAGGTTGGTCAAACAGGGATTCTGGTGCAATTTTGAAGAATTCTGAAGGGGTTAAAGTGCAAATAGAGGAAATTTCAAGGCATTTGTGTAATTTTGGAAAGTCAGAAAAGATAAAAGATAAAATTCAGTTGTTGAATTAATTTAATTTGGGAATATCAACAAAAGATATCTTCCAAATAATGTTATAATTATCTAAATCTTTTAGTTATTTGGAAGATATAAGATAAAAGATTCTGTCAACTGAATATTCAGTGTCCAAGCCCAATCAAACCCTATATAAAGAGACCCAGGGGAGACTTCACTTCATTCATTCATTCACCACTTCTCTCTCTCTTATTTCATCATGTATTCAACTCCATTCATGAAGAGCTAAGAATCTAGGGTTATTCTGCTGTAATTTCATTATGGATTCTGAGGTTAGATTGAGTTAATACAATTGTTTATTTTGATTATTGATTTAAGTTGTTCTCTCTCTATGTCTTTCATCTCTCTATCAAATTAAAAGCAAAGATTTTTGCATCATAATGTGTTTGAATCTACATGCATATTGATTATATGAGTTCTAGGGTTTCTAGGTTTAATTGAGAATCTACTTTGATTTAATTTAGGAACATTCATATGATTAAATGGTTTTTACTATCAATTGAGAATGTACTTTGATTGGTAGTAATAATTTCAACTATAATCAATTGAGAATTTACTTTGATTGATTAGTTTTTAATTTGGTTAGACGATTTAATAATAGACATGATTAAACACAATAGAATTTGATTGAGAATGTACTTTGGTTGAATTTATTGTGAATAATCTAGAAAGGTCTTGCATTTGATTGAGAATGTACTTTGATTAAATGCATGATCACCCTCAAATTAATTAAGAATGTACTTTAATTAATTTGAAACTTAAACAATAATCAATTGAACAATTGTCTGTGAATAACCAATGATGAATCTATCTTGAAAAAGCAGTGGAATTAGCCTACTTAGTCATAACTGTTTTTAAATTTCTTATTTGTTCTTTAAACATTCTCCAAACATTACTTTTATTCTTGCATTGCATTACATTCATAAGATTGAAATATTGAAAGACAATAACGTATTCATTGAGAGACGACTTAGAGTTACTTTAGTCCTATCTACTTTCTTAGATACTACTTGGTAATACTGAAGTGGCCTTGAAAAGTAGTATTAATTTGATAGCTTCAACGACAGCTTATCAATGTCCAACATTCAATCATTGTCATCATGATCTTCATCTTCATCTTCTTCATCATCATCATCATCATCATCATCATCATTTTCTTCTTCTTCATCATCATCATCATCATCATCATCATCATCATCATCATCTTCTTCTTCTTCTTCTTCTTCTTCTTCTTCTTCTTCTTCTTCTTCTTCTTCTTCTTCTTCTTCTTCTTCTTCTTCTTCTTCTTCTTCTTCTTCTTCTTCTTCNGTAAAATGTTACGTGAGGAGGTATGAAGACAAAATTACTAAAAAACAAATCGTGTCAGTGAAATTTTAAATGAGCCTGAAGCTTACTTAGGCAACAATAGACTAATGACTTTAAAATAGGCAGGTCCAAATGAGACACATAGTAAATGGAACATAAAGCGAGAACTTGAGATTCTCTAGGAAGCCTGAGAAAAGGACCAAAACATATCGGTCCTGCAACGTGAAAAAAACAAAACAATTAGAAGCCAAAAAATAAGTCACAGGTGTTGTATTATTAATACGGATGTCAACATCATGTTCATGTTTACCTCCCTCTTGATATGTACAATAAAAATCTTGCAATGACTGCTGCATGTTGTTATACATGCAAACAAGTGCTGGATTCCAAGCACGCTGTCCAATACGATGTAGAAGACGTATCAAAGCCTATGATGAACATAAAATACTTTAGGTAAAAGGACAAATTAAATTGCAGACTTAACATCAATGCAAAGGCAGATTAATCTCTCAAAATGCAGTCAACCATGAATTTCAAATAAAGTCCTCCTTATCAAATCAAAATAATAACTACCTGGGAGCAGGCTAGGTGATTATCTCCAAGCAGGATAAGCAACCGAGGGAGATCTCCAGTCCATGCACGTAAAGCCTCTTGAAGAACTATATACTGTGGATTGCTTGTCCCTGTGGAATGCATGCCTTCCATCTATATTTGGACCAAAGACAAAAAACACACACACTAATCTCGAAGGAAGGAAATAACTTGTTTTCATGAGATTATCCAAAAATCAAGAATTTCATTTCAATAGTGTTCTCAAAAGGAGATGAATCCAAACTCACGTAAGTTAACACATCTTCAATGGCAGAAACACAGACTTTCAGCAAAGAACCTGGCTTGCTTTCCCTGACATTCTAAACCTTGTCCTGTCATTATTACATTCAAATGGTTACAAATAAAGTGAAACAATAGAAAAGAATAAGGAAGGATCAATACAAATTAAAGTGAATGTCATACATTTTGCATACAACTTTTAAGATGGTATTTTACATAACTCTATTGAAACGATAGTTCAATTTGCTACAATAGATGCTGATGAGTGCATATTTATGTCCACATTTATGCTTTAAAATGAAAGTTTTGATGAAATGCATGTGCTTGAATGATTAATTTAAAGAGGATTTGTGATGATTTGATATATTGTGTTTGAAATTAAAAGGGACTTAAAAAGCGATTTTAATTGCATTAATTATTCTTGGAAATTCTTACGTTTATTTGTGCAGCTGAAATTATAAGTTCTATTGGTCCAAATGGCAATTCAAAGCCCAAAATCAGGTTTTATTTGAAAAATAATTTACAGATGGGCCAAACAGACAGACTTTACCCTTGCACCTCCTAAAATCCCTACATACACTCCTGAAACAGGCCAACAACCGAGGCCAAACAGACAGACTTTACCCTTGCACCTCCTAAAATCCCTACATACACTTCTGAAACAGGCCAACAACCGAGCCCAAACACTAAGCCTTTTCTACTACACCTCCCTAAGTTTCCTATACACACCCCTCCTAAAATAGACTCCACCACATCATGTCATGTGGCAATCTAAAACCCTAAGTGTTATCCAACCACATGTTACCACATCACCCCCTCTGCCACATCATCATCTTCTCCCAAGAAACCCTAATTCCCAATCCAAACCTTAGGGCGTCGTTAGTCGTCACCGGTCACCATCGTGCCACCACCTTGCAGCGCCACCGTCCATAACACACATCCAGAATCGCGCCACCTACGCTCACGGCCAATCTATCTTCTCCGCGCCCCAATACCGAAGCGCGACCTCCACGGCCACCATCATCCAATCTCGCCGCCAACAGCGAAACCACCTTGTTGTCGCCTATCCATGCTGCGACACCACCATCAAACACGCACCAAGAACCACAAGACTGCCGCCACCAACGCGAGTCCCTCACGCATAGAAACACCGTCAACCAGCCGCCGCAGAAACACACCATTTTCTTCCTCGCGTCTTCATCGTGAGGGCGAAGCCCTTAAAGCGACATCTCCCAGCCACGATCGCCACCATCCATCCACAACAGAACCACCACTAGGGGAGTCCCTCCAACGTCACACAACCAATCGCACCTTCATCTTCTCTAGCGTCGAACAACAGAGAACCCAGAAAACCTCGCGCCAACGTCGCACCTGCACTCAAAAAAACCACAGAGATCCAATTTTCTCGCGTTCTCGCCATTGCCCAACCTCCATGGCAGCCATCACACGCCACCGCCGTGAACCTTCCCGCTCTGCAATCAGACCTCCACCTGCAAATCCAAAAAACACAACAGAATCAAAGACACAAGAGTAGGGGAAGCGGCACAAACTACTTCGCGACAAGGTGCAGAGCAATTTCCCTAATCTGAAACCCTAATTGGGTGAGAAAGAGGGATGCCATGTGGCAGGCCCTCATTGGCCACACCCTCTCTGGTCAAAACTGGTCAACAGATTTGAATATGGTCAAGGTTGGTCAAACAGGGATTCTGGTGCAATTTTGAAGAATTCTGAAGGGGTTAAAGTGCAAATAGAGGAAATTTCAAGGCATTTGTGTAATTTTGGAAAGTCAGAAAAGATAAAAGATAAAATTCAGTTGTTGAATTAATTTAATTTGGGAATATCAACAAAAAATATCTTCCAAATAATGTTATAATTATCTAAATCTTTTAGTTATTTGGAAGATATAAGATAAAAGATTCTGTCAACTGAATATTCAGTGTCCAAGCCCAATCAAACCCTATATAAAGAGACCCAGGGGAGACTTCACTTCATTCATTCATTCACCACTTCTCTCTCTCTTATTTCATCATGTATTCAACTCCATTCATGAAGAGCTAAGAATCTAGGGTTATTCTGCTGTAATTTCATTATGGATTCTGAGGTTAGATTGAGTTAATACAATTGTTTATTTTGATTATTGATTTAAGTTGTTCTCTCTCTATGTCTTTCATCTCTCTATCAAATTAAAAGCAAAGATTTTTGCATCATAATGTGTTTGAATCTACATGCATATTGATTATATGAGTTCTAGGGTTTCTAGGTTTAATTGAGAATCTACTTTGATTTAATTTAGGAACATTCATATGATTAAATGGTTTTTACTATCAATTGAGAATGTACTTTGATTGGTAGTAATAATTTCAACTATAATCAATTGAGAATTTACTTTGATTGATTAGTTTTTAATTTGGTTAGACGATTTAATAATAGACATGATTAAACACAATAGAATTTGATTGAGAATGTACTTTGGTTGAATTTATTGTGAATAATCTAGAAAGGTCTTGCATTTGATTGAGAATGTACTTTGATTAAATGCATGATCACCCTCAAATTAATTAAGAATGTACTTTAATTAATTTGAAACTTAAACAATAATCAATTGAACAATTGTCTGTGAATAACCAATGATGAATCTATCTTGAAAAAGCAGTGGAATTAGCCTACTTAG